CGATCACGTGATCGTTACTAATACTGACTCTCATCCCACAGGAATCCCGTGACCCGTAGGATTCCCTAAAAAAAATGTCAGTGTCTAGTTTGCACCTGTTTTAAGACACCAAACCGGAGGATCAGGCCTATAGAGATTTGCTTTATATTTGAGTCAGTAACAGCTTTTTGGCTACATATCTGAGGAGGTGGGCAGAGCAGGTCAAGTAGAGAAAATATCAACAGATTTCACAACCAATATGAATCCAAAGGTTGGAACTTGACTTAGATGCTCGTGAAAATTCTAAATTATTTAACAAAATAATGTTGAAGCCTCTGTAATCATTTAACTAGCCAGCCATGCAGTTTGACTGGTGGCTTATTATTGGCTGAGCTGGGAGGACCTACAGTAGGTCTCATCTGTAACCTTGCTGCCTATCATTTAAAAGGTCAGATTAAGGCTTCCTTTGCTTATTCCCTGAAAAACATTCAGGTCATAAACTTTTCTTTCCAGGAGTTTTCAAAAGAGGTCGAAGGGAAGTCAAGTCTCAAGAGTTCAGTAGTGTCAGAGGGAAACCAGCTGCTGCGGCTAAAGAAAGTGGACACAGTGGCGCTGCGCTCTGACTTGGCTCGCATTGACAGTCAGTGGGCGGAGCTTCTCACACGCATCCCAGTGGTTCAGGAGAAACTGCATCAGGTGACGTCACATGTAGCCAACACTTAAAAGGTTTAGCTCCATCGGGGAAAATAGTTACCTTTATTTACAGCTTCACTCAGAAACACATATTTCAAGATATGTTTGACTCAAAGTATGAGTCACACGTTTTTTCTTCCTTCATGTCAAGGCATGTACTATTTTTGCCCTCTTTCTAGGTCCAAATGGAGAAGCTGGCCTCACGTCATGCCATTTCTGAGCTAATTAACTGGATATCACTGATGGAGAGTGTGATTGAGGAAGACGAAGAAAACCTTAAGAGTGCCATCGGATCAAATGTCATTCAAGACTATTTGCAAAAATATAAGGTATTGTTTATTTTCATATTTGCACAAATTTATAATCTGTGGTCCAATTCTTTGGTTGACTTGCCTGTTTTCTCCATTTTAGGGATTCAGAGTCGATTTAAGCTGTAAGCAGCTGACTGTGGACTTTGTCAACCAGTCGGTTCTTCAGGTTGGTGGTCAGGATGTTGAGAGTAAGCGAAGCGACAAAACCGACTTCGCTGAGCGTCTGGGAGCCATGAATCGACGCTGGCAGATCCTGCAAGGCTGCATCAGTGAGAGGGTAAGGTCATAATAACTGAGATATCAGAGCAAATCTCTGCTATGTTCGTTCCCGCTGTGCTATAGAGTCTTAATGATTTATTTTAAATATTATATTTAAGATCCAGCTCCTCGAGAGCCTTCTAAAGATGTGGCTGGACTATGAGAGCAGCGTTCAGATCCTCAAGTCCTGGATGACAGCTCAAGAAGAGCGATTAAAGAGGAAACACAGAATAGAAGATCTGATTTCTGTGCAGAATGCTCTCAAAGACTGTCAGGTAGGTCTGACATGTTACCCAAGAACACAGCATTTCCATGTTAAAATCATGTTTATGTGTTTACTGAAGAAAACTTTGTTTTGATACGGATTTAGGAAATGGAAGAGCTGCTGAAAAATAAAGAGAAAGAACTGGAAAGGGTAGAGGAGCAGGGTTGTGCTCTCGTCCAGAACAAGACAGATGAGGCCTGTGCTATCGTCATGGAGACCCTCCAAAGTGTCAATCACACCTGGGCCAATCTGGACCACTTGGTGATTAGATTATTTTAATCCATCAGATTGTCGTGTTTTATTCCTGTTGCCTGTATATCCTGTTAGTCACTGATGTCTGTTCAGGTCTGATCTTTACTGGTTTGTGTTTCCTCATTTTATGGTTAACAGATAGGACAGTTAAAGATCAGCCTGACTTCAGTTTTGGATCAGTGGAGCTTGTATAAACGGGCTTCAGAGGAGATCAACGGCTATCTGATGGAAGGAAGATATTCTGTATCACGTTTCCGCCTCCTCACTGGCTCCCTGGAGGCTGTTCAGCTGCAGGTGCAAAGTTTGCAGGTACTTAAAGATAAAGTTTCTTGTTTATTGAGCATATTAAGTATAAGAATATTGATATATTCTTTTAACCAGTTGTGTTCTTTGCAGTTTTTTTATTCACTTTCTAGAACTTAGTAATTTTCTAAGAATCTTCTTTTTTTGTCTTCTCATAAACTAACCTCTATATGCATGTTTCTCCTGTTAAGGATCTCCAAGAAGAACTGGAGAAACAGGAAAGCAGCCTGAGAAAGTTTGGTGCTGTGACACATCAACTGCTGAGGGAGTGTCATCCTTCAGTGTCAGATACCCTCAATAATGCCCTCAAGGATGTCAATGCAAGGTGATTTAAAGATATATTTTTGTTCTTTTCCTTGCTAGCCTGTAAAAACCAAGCTTTTTTATTTGATCATACCTAAAAACATGCTAATGATTTACACAATTAGATGGACTGGCCTACTGGAGGAGATAGCAGAGCGTCTTAAAAGCAGTAAAGCTCTGCTTCAGCTGTGGCAGCGCTACAAAGAACTTCATGAGCAAAGCTGCAGCAGCATTCAGCTTCAGGAGGAAAACGCTGACCAGCTCCTGAAGAGCACCTGCAGAAAGGACATCGCTGATGAGGAAGTTTCCAACTGGATCCGAGAATGCAGCGTGAGTTGGTGCACAATGATGGGTTTTACTTTAAAGGAAAAGTCCAGTCAGCAGGG